TTTAATTTCTGAATTATTCCCACAACTGTGTTTTCTAAGTTGCTTACTTTTTCTTTTCTCTCATTAGTGCTAATAATCATACGTCTTGTTTCTTTAAATAGCTCTATGTTTCTCAAAGGCATCACTCATTTTTTTACCTTCTGTTTTCTTTTTTTTTTTTTTTTATGACTGTGTTAATTTGAAAGACCAGTTTCGAGATTGTATTAGTCAGGGTTATCTAGAGGGATAGAACTAATAGAATATATATATATGTATAAAATATGATATACATAGATTATATATATAATTATATATATCTAGATTATATATATCCTATATATCATATTATATATAATCCACATATAGAGAACTAATAGAATATACATAATATGATTTTATATTTATAGCAGCATATTAAGGAGTGTTAACTCACACAATCATATATATATCTCATATATATCATATATATATATATATTACATGGAAGTGTATTAAGGAGTATTAACTCACAAGATCACAAGGTTTTCCAACAGACCATCTGCAAGCTGAGGAGCAAGGAAGCCAATTCAAGTCCCAAAGCTGAAAAACTTGGAGTTTGATGTTTGAGGGCAGGAAGCACCCAGCATGGGAGAAAGATGTAGGCTGGGAGGCTAAGCCAGTCTAGTCTTTTCATGTTTTTCTGCCTGCTTTATATTCTGGCCATGCTGGCAGCTAATTAGATGGTGCCCACTCACATTAATGGTAGTTCTGCCTTTCCCAGCCCACTGACTCAATTGTTAATCTCCTTTGACAACACCCTCGCAGACACATCCAGGATCAATACTTTGCATCCTTCAATACAATCAAGTTGACACTCATTATTAACTATCACAAATATCTTTAATTATTTTTTATGTTTAGTCTAATTTATTGTCAAAGTTTCCAACTGTATTTTGGAATTCTTTTGGTAACTTTTTTAATTCCAGAAGTTCTGTTGGTTTTTTTCTTAATATGTCCATCTCACCTTTCATATCCTAAATTGTTTTTCTGGTTTCATTTATTGGTTTTCAACTTTCTCTTGGATCTTATTAAGTTTTCTTGCAATTTATATTTTGAATCCTTTATCTGTCATTTCAAACTTTTCAATATGATTAATGTCCATTGCTAGAGAGCTAGTGTGACCCTCTGGAGTTGTCAAGATATTCTGGCTATTTGTTCTGCCAGAGTTCTTGTGCTGATTTCTTCTCATTTGAGAAAGCTGACACTTGTTATTTTGAATTTTCTGTTGTTTGAATAGGACATTTTAAATTTTTTATTATTTCTTCCCTTGAGGATATGACTGTGGTGTATGTTGTGCATGATGGTTTGGCCTCATTTCTGGGTTTCATAAGGCCGAGGCTTAGTAGGGTTCCCTTGGTTGTGGATAGATTCTGTGCAGTGGTTTTCTTAGATGTTACTTGTTGTTGTGATGTATTGGATGTATGATCTGACACACTATCTCTTATGGGGCTGAGGGTATGGAGGTCTCAGGAATTTTATCTTGGGGGCTAGCTCTAAGTTCTTCCGGTGGCACGTTTTTAATTTGGTGGAGAGTTCAGGCTGCAATCCAGTAGATGGTACTTAAGAGTGAGAGCCAATTTGTCCTCAGTTAGACTGAAATTTAGTTGAAGCACTTTCCCTGGCCCTGATGGGATGTGGTATAAAGAAATCATGTATGGGTATGTAAAATTTGGTGGAAATGGGCCAGGGAGGTTCACCAGTTTCTCATTCTCAGCTGGCAGAAACATAATCTGCCTCACTCTCATGCCCCTGTTACAGGGCTCGTGACCTTCAGTCCACAAAGTCCTTGTCCTCTGTTTCCTGGCCACAGTGCAGCTGCAGGCTGCAGGCATGCCCCTCTAGTGACTATCATAGAAATGGATTCAGGGTGGAGCCTCTTTCCCAAGTCCAGAGCAGGCATCTCCATGACCGGTTTGTCCTCCACTGCCAGGATACTACTGTTATGTGTAGGGAGGGGTAGCTGGACCCCGCCCTTCATGTAAGCCCAAGCAGTGCAGGCTCACTTTTATCTGGGCTGCAACTCCTGCAAAAAACATAAAAGATGCTTTATCTGAGTGCACACATGCCAGTCCTCAGCAGGAAGAACCACTGCTGTATCCACAACAGTGTACGGTGGAGAGGGTGGGAAATTACCGTCTATCCAGATTCATTCCTGAGTGTTGGTACTGCCTCCTTTAGTAATTGTTGCTGTACCCATGTTCTCTTTGTCCCAAGGAAAGCTATAGTGGGCTACAGTCCCCACTCTCTTAGGGGAAGAACGCACTGAGAGTTAGATCTCCAGAGGTCCTGCTGTTTCCCCAAAGTCCACTGACCCCTGTACCTGCCAAAGTCAGAGAAGTTGGTTGGATATGTCTGCCAGAAATTTGGTGGTGTGGTGGCTCAAAGATGGAGAATCCTCAGGCAGGGCAGTGGCATACCACAGATGCACAAACAGTGTGGCACCTCCTTCCTTCAGATGGGAAGGCGGTGCAGCCGTACCTGTGCAGGCTGGCCACCCACTTGTCTATCCCTGGGGAGTTCCCAAATTGCTACCAATAGCATTACCCTGGGTCAAGAGGGCAGAGGGAATTCCCAACAATTTGGTGGTCAGCAGATTATCAGACATGTGAGGGGAGCAGAGAAGCACTTTTAGCTGTGTTTTCACAGGGTTCTCTGGGGTTGATTATTGCCAGACTTTTACTGCTTTTCTTTACTGCACCACAGCTTCTTCTTTATGCGCACTTTAACAGTTCCTGGCTCTCTTTCCTCAGTTTTTCATTTGGAACTTCCTTATTCACCAGTAACCTTGATCTTCTTTCTGAGGAGAACTGTAATTTGATGTCCCTGGTCAGCCATCTTGAAAAGAACTTGACTATTTTTATTTTTATCAGTGGTAGCATGATATATCTTCCTGCACCTAATTACTTTTAATCTATACATCTTTAAAGTAGATTTCTCAGAGGCTACATATAGTTTGTTTCTTCTTTTTAATCCTTTAACAAATTCAGTCTTTTAATTGGTGGATTTAGATCACTGACATTAAAAGTGACTACTGATGTTGTTAGACTAATGTTGATCATAATTTTACTATTTTCTATTAGTTATACTTGTTCTTTGACCTATTTTTGTCTTCTATTCTTTTTTCTTCTGTTGTGGTCAGCTGAATAGTCTCTATGACTCTGATTTTATATGACTATATAATTACGAATTTTTATTTTACCTTTCTTTGTGTATGTCAAGTTTCCGACCTACATGAGTCTCTCTAAAAAGCTTCTCTTAACATTTCTTACAAGGAAGATGTACTGGAAAAACATTTCTTCAATTGTTGTTTGTCTGAGAATGTCTTTATTTCTACTTTACTTTTAAAAGAATTTCACAGAGTACAGAATTTTAAGTTGGTGATTTTTTTCTCTTAGGACTTTAAATATTTCACTCCACTCTCTTCTTGCTTGCATGGTTTCTGAAGAGAAGCCTGACATATTTTCTCCCCTATAGATAAAATTTGTTTTTTTTTCTGGTTAGTTTCAGGATAAAGTTTTCTTTATCTCTGACTTTCTGTAATTTGAAAATAACACACCTACAGGTAGTTTTTCTGATCAGTAATAACTTATTTGTATATTTTAAAATAACTTAGGAAGTGTAGTTGAATTGTTTGTAACTCAAAGGATAAATTCTTAGCATTTTCTAAGGTTCCCGAATCTGTGATTAGTGTCTGACATTAATTTAAGAGAAATTCTTAGTAATATATATTTTTTTTTGAGATGGAGTCTCACTCTGATGCCCAGGCTGAAGTGTAGTGGCGTGATCTTGGCTCACTGCAACCCCTGCCTCCTGAGTTCAAGTGATTCTCCTGCCTCAGCCTCCCGAGTAGCTGGGATAACAGGCACCCACCACCACGCCTGGCTAGTTCTTGTATTTTTAGTATAGATGGGGTTTCACCATGTTGGTCACGCTGGTCTCTAACTCCTGACCTAGTGATCCACCCACCTCAGCCTCCCAAAGTGCAGGGATTACAGGTGTGAGCCACTGCACCTGGCCAGTAATTATTTTTTTTAAATATTTATTTTGCTCCTTTTCTCTTTGTTTTCCTTCTAACTTTTCCATACGCACACTTATATAATTGTCTCAAAATTTTTATATAATATCAATTGGCTTGCTTTTTAGTCTTGTTTCTCTTTGCTTTTCAGTTTTGGAGGCTTTCATGGATATATCCTCAAATTAGAGAGTCTTCGTCAGCTGTGTTCTACCTACTGATAAACCCATCAAAGGCATTCTTTATTTCTGCTACAAATTTTTTTATTTTTAGCATTTTTCTTGGAGTCTTAAAATTTTTATTTTTATACTTACGTTGCCTATCTGTTCTTGAATGCCCACTACTTTATCAATTAGAACCCTTAACATGTTAATCATAGTTGTTTTAAATTCCATTTTGAAAATTTCCACATCCCTGACATATCTAGATCTGGTTTTAAGCTTACTTATTCTTTTCAATCTAAGTTTTTTTCACTTTTGGTATGACTGGCAATTTTTTTCATTACAGTTAAGCATAATGCATTGGGTAAAAGGAACTGCTTTGATAAGTTTATTAATACGGTGTGAGGTGCTGGAGAAGGGGTAGCATTCCACAGGCCTATATTTAGGTTTAATTATTTTAGTTATAATCCAGTAACCTCTAGATTATAAATTTCAAGCATACTTCTCAGTTTCTCCTCCCAGCTGTAGGTGGGGCGGGATAGCTTAAGAGGGCTTGGGTTGTATATTTTTCTCCTGCTATGAAGAAGGTCAGAGGCAACTGGAGCATAGTTTCTATGGCTTCATAACCCTATTATAATAATAAAACATCTATCATTATGCCCCAATACAAATAATTATTAGAATTATTGTCTTAATATTTTATCTCTAATTTTATTTTTCTCTTTAGGATCCGGATACTGGAGAAAATGTTGTAAGTTATTATAGACAATTTAAAATGATGTATTGTTTTATTTTGTCTATTTCCACAGAAAGGTCTACTTGGGCTTGTCTTCAGTGTTAAGAGTCTCAGCACTTGTTTTATATATTATATTAATTTATGCCATGAAGAAAAAATTTCAAGAGAAAGATACCAATGCATCAGAAAATGGAAGTGTCATGGATGAAGCAAACTTAGAATCCTTAAATAACAATAAACATTTTGTCCCTTCTGCTGGGGCAGATAGTGAAACACATTATTAAGGGGAGAAAAAAAGTCACTTCTGCTTCTGTGTTTCCAAACAGCATTGCATTGATTCAGTAAGATGTTATTTTTGAGGAGTTCCTGGTCCTTTCACTGAAAATTTCCACATCTTTTATGGTGAAAGTATTAATAAGCCGATGAATTTATAATAAAACAAACTATACGTAGCAAAAATGAGAGTATTCATTGTTATGTTGTAGCTATGTATTTGTGGTTAAGGCTAGACTATAAGATCCATACAAATTTAAAGTAAGAGGCATGGTTATTGTGTAATAAAAGAAAAACTACTTGTTCAAGTAACTGTAATTCTTAATAAAATAAATGAGTAGAATACAGGTAGAAGTTAAAAAGAAGGAGCTAGATTAGTATCCTAAGTAAAGAGAAATGCCTAATGTCTATTTTGTATTAAACAAACAAACATGCAGTTTGAACTGTAATACTGAGGCCTGAAGTCTAGCCTGGATGAATGCTACAATAATATCTGTTACTCACATAAAATTATATATTTCACAGACTTTCTTAATGTATAATTAATTATTTTGGTCAAGTAAATTTAGAATACATTTAAATATTAATGAAGAAATAAAGACATTCCAATATTTGCAAGCTGTGATTGTTAAACAACATAATACATTACGTGTTAAGTTTCTGTTGGATTTAATGGATTAAGAAAAATTGACTTTGACTAATGTAGCCACTCTTATACTTATCTTAGCTAGATTTCCTGGATCATTTGCTGCACCTTCTACGTCAGCACTTTCTTCTTCACTTTCCACTTAGGTAATGAAACCAGCTTCTTTTTTTAAACCCCATGAACTAAATTCTATAGCATTTTTTCTTTTGCAGCTTTCCCACCTCTCTTAGTTATCATAGAATGACAGAGAGGTAGGGCCTTACTCTAGATTAGATTTGGCCTAAGGGAACATTATGGCTGCTTTGATCTTCTAACCAGGCTACTGAAGTTTTCTCTATATTAGCAATAAGTCTGTTTCACTTTGTTATTATTTGTGTGTTCACTGAAGTAGGACTCTTAATTATTTTCAAGTACTTTCTTTTTGCATTCACAACTTGGTTAACTATTGAATGCAAGATGCTTAGTTTTGACTTACCTTGGCTCTTGATATGCCTTCCTCACTAAACTTAATCATTTCTAAAATTTGATTTAAAATGAGAGATGTGTGACTCTTTCTTTCACTCAAACACCTAGAGGTCATTGTAAGGTTATTAATTGTCTTAATTTCTATGTTGTTCTGTCTCAGGACATAGGAAGGCCCAAGGAGGGAGGTATAGCAATAGCTGATTGGCAGAGCATTCAGAACACACACAGTTTTATTGATTAAGTTCCACATATTATATGGGCATGGATAGTGGCAAGTCGAATCAATTACAATAGTAACATCAAAGATCACTAACCACAGGTCACTATCACAGATACAATAACAATGAATAAGTCTGAAATATTGTGAGAATTAGCAAAATGTGACACAGAGACATAAAGTGAGCACATATTTTTGAAAAACTGATGTCAATAGACTTGTTTGATGCAGGATTGCCACAAACTTTCAATTTGAAAAAAAAAAAAAAACCAAAATATGTGAAGTGCAATAAAGTGAAGTTGAATAAAAGGAAGTATTTCAGGAATAAAAACTAGCAGGATCACAGGATCAATATCTACTTAAAAGTATTAGAAATATGGAGGTAAATAGAAGAAATAGCTAAAAAGAGTTGTAAATGCTTGCCTCCAGAAAGCAGTAATAACAAGCAGAGAAAAACTCATTTTCAATATGAGATTTTTGATGTAATCTTATTTTTACAACTTTGTGCATAAATTGCTCTGGTAAAAATTAAAAATCAATCATCAGACTGGTATGTCTCTTATTAATCAACAATAAACAATAATATTGATACCCAGGTAATACACTGAGAGCCTTGGGTGAGTCTCCAAGTCTCGCTGGTTTCAGATACCAGAGAGATCACAGGGGTTAACACACTAAGCAGACTCTTGAGGTCCTTGGTTCCAGGACTTGACTCTTGGATAGCATTCCTGAACCTGCCCTTGGCCAGAGAGGAGCCCACTGTCCTGCAGGTTGAATCCCAGGTCAGGCAGAATTCAATAGAAGCTGATTAAAGTGCCCTTGGGCCTTAAGGAAACATTGGCAGTAGTCTGGCAGTACTCCCTGTGGGCCTGAAGTGGTTGTGGCTATGGGTTGAGGCTCCCCTGTATTTGGAAATGTGAGGAAAGAGTGGGAAAGACTGTCTTGTGGTTTGAGTGACACCTCAGCCACTATATGATAGAACACCAAGTAGCCTTTACGAGTTTTGGCTCTAGTCTCTGACTCCTGGATGGCACCTCTGGGACCTGGGGGACCTCACCACCCTGAAAGGAAGGACACAGGCCTTGCTGCCTTTGCTGCCTGCTGATTGTAGAGCCCCATGGGCAAACATGGGCAGTAGTCAGGGAGTAATTATAGCAGACCTTGGGCAAGACTCAGAAATGTGCTGGCTTCAGGTGTAACCCAATGTAGTCATAGTTCTGGAGGCCACAGAGCTGCTCATGCCACTCCAAACCTAGATTTAGTTGTTTCAGAACAGAGAAGGAGACTGTATGTTTGGGAGAAAATAACCAATAGAACAAGAATCTCTACCTGGAAATCCAGACAATTCTTCTGGATGTTGTTCAAGACCATTAAGGCGGTACCTCTACGAGTCTGCAAAAACCTCAGCATTACTGGGCTTGGGGTCCTCCCTAAAGCAGACACAGCTTATATCACAATAATCAAGTTCTTTTAAATGCCTGGAACCCCTTCCCAAGAAGGATAGCTGCAAATAACCCCAAACAGCCAAGACTACAATAAATACTTTGCTCTTCAATGCCCAGACCGACAAATATCTACTAGTATCAACACCATCCAGGAAAACATGACCTCACCAAGTGAACTAAATAAGGCACAGGAACCATTCCTGGAGAGAGATGTGTGAGCTTTCAGACAGAGAATTCAAAATAGCTGTTTTGAGGAAACTCATAGAAATTCAAGATAATACAAAGAAGGCATTCATAATTTTATCAGATAAATTTAACAAGGACATTGAAATAATTGAAAATAATGAAGTAGAAATTCTGTAGCTGAGAAATACAATTGGTATACTGAAGAATGAATAAGAATCCTTTAATAGCAGAATTTATCAAGCAAAACAAAGTATTAGTGAACTTGAAGACAGGTTATTTAAAAATACACAGTCAGAGGAGATGAAAAAAAAAAAGAACATAAAACAATAAAACAAGCCTACAGAACATGGAAAATAGACCCAAAAAAGCATATCCGTTATGGGCCCTAAAGAGGAGATAGAGAAAGAGATGAAGTAGAAAGTGTATTCAAAGGAATAATACCAGATAACTTATCAAACTTAGAGAAAGATATATCCAAGTACAAGAAGGTTGTAGAACACCAAGCAGATTTAATCCAAAGAAGACTACCTCAAAGCATTTAATAATCAAACTCTCAAAGGTCAAAGATTAAAAAATGATCCTAAAAGCAGCAAGATAATTAAGATAGAGTGGCACTCCGAAATTCTGGCAGCGAAGTTTTTACTGGAAACCTTACAGGCACGCATGGCATAACATATTTAAAGTGCTGAAGGGAAAAAAAAAAAATTTTACCCTAGAATAGTATATGCAGGAAAAACACCTTTCAAACATGAAGAAGAAATGGAGACTTAGCGAGACAAACAAAAGCTAAGGAATGTCATCAATACCAAACCCATCCTATAAGACATGCTAAAGGAAGTGCTTCAAATGGAAAGAAAAGAACATTATTGAACAATAAATTATCACCTAAAGGTACAAAACTCACTGCTAATAGTAAGTATGCAGCATAACATAATGTCTAACACCATAACTGTGGTATGTGAACTATTATTCTAAGTAGAAACACTAAATGATGAACCAATCAAAAATATAACTTCAACAACTTTTCAAGACCTGGTACGGTAAGCTATAAATAGAAACAAGAAAAAGTAAAAAAGCATGGAGATAAAGTTAAGGCGTAGAGTTTTTATTACTTTGATTTTTGCTTGTTTGTTCATGTAAGTAGTGTTAAATCGTTATTAGGTTAAAAATAATGAGTTATAAGATAGTACGTGCAAGCCTCATGGTAACCTCAAACCAACAAAACATAAAATAGATGCACAAAAAATAAAAAGCAAAAAATAAATTATATCACCAGAGAAAATCACCTTCACTTGAGGAAGATAGGAAGAAAGAAAGAAGGACGAAAAGAAGAACAATCAGAAAACACCTGTGGTGTAGGCACTTATAGCTATAAACTTCCCTGTTAGTACTGCTTTTCCTGTATCCCATAGATTACCATTTGTTTAAGAATTTTTTCAAGATTATTTTAATAATCTTCCATGATGTGCTTATTTTACATTGCATGCCTGTATCAAAATATTTCATATACCCCATTAATATACATATCTACTATGTAACCACAAATAAAATAATTAAAAACAACACAATCTCTTTGTGATTAGAAGTGTCTAAATAATCCTAAGAAGGAAATAATCTCAAATTTTGCCTGGTCCTGAGAATATTTACACCAGACTCAACTCCTTGAAAAGAATGTCCAAAATTCCTATTGAAAAAATTGACAAAAATGACTCTGTGAGTAGAAGTGAGAGAGCCACAAGCACAAAACAGACTGTTGGAATAGAGCTTGCATCTTCCCATTCCCATGACAGTTGAAATTATTCATTGAAGTAACATACTTCAAGTATTAGTGTAATTGCTTTTCTATGAATAAATATCTGACACTAAATAATTTATGAAGAAAAGAAGTTTAATCAGGTCATGGTTCTGCAGACTTTACAGAAAGCATGATAGTGGCATCTGCTTCTAGTGAGGCCTCAGGAAGCTTACAATCATGGTGGAAGGTGATAGAAGAAGCCTGCATGTCACATAGTGACAACAGGTGCAAAAGGGAGAGAAGAGGGGAAATCCCAGACTTTTAAGCAACCAGATCTGATGTAAATTAACTGTGTGAGAATTGACTGATTACTAAGTAATGGTGCTAGTCTATTTCTGAGGGATCAAATTCCATGATCTATTCATCTCCAACCAATCCCCACCTGCAACACTGAAAATCACACTGATGCAGTCTCACCAGTGCACCACAATGTAGCAGTCTCTTGTTGCCTAAGGTAGTACCAGGAGTTCTTTGTCTCTGCACCAGCAAAGTTAAGGAGTGCATTCACCAAGGGTGATGTTGGAGTGGAAGCTTAATAAGCTAAAGTAGAAAGCTCTCTGCTGTGAAGAGGGGGCCTGGAAGAGTGTTGCCGTTTTTACAGTTGAATGCAAAAGCTTTTATAAAAAAATAAGGGGTGGACATCTTATTTGCAAAGGGACAACTTTCCGCTGGCTCCACCCCATCCTCTTAGTGTGCATGTGGGCCCTTAGCTTGAGTTGCTCCATATTCCTTTGTTCCCCTTACTGCGCATGTGTCAGGGGATGCAATTTTCCATTGCGGACATGTCTGGGCAAGTCACCTGTGTAGCCTTTCTTATTTGTGTGGCTGTGGGCATGTCTTAGGCAAGCCCCTCTGTGCAAGTTCCCTTATTTGTGGCTGCAGGCTGTTCTTTTGTTTGAAAGGAATTCAACCTAATTCAACCGAGGACCCAGCCCAATTGGCTGCCTGGCTAGGTTTTTTGCTTTCTCCTCTCTTAACATATTAACATGAGATTTGGAGGGGACAAACATCCCAACTATGTCATTCTGTTCCTGCACCCCAAAAAATGTCATATTCTTTTCACATTGCAAAATACAATCACCCTTTCTCAATAGTTCCTCTTAGTCTTAATTCATTCCAGCATCGACTAAATCAAAATCTGATCCAAAATCCAGAGTCTCTTCTGGAGATGAGTTCCTTCAACTATTGAGACAAGAAGTCTCCCGATCCAAGGTTTTTCTTGATCGAAGGGTTCATGGTCTCACGGGCTTCAGGGAATGAAGCCGTGGACTGCAGTGGCGAGTGTTACAGCTCGATTAGAGAAACGCACAGACCTAGAGTGTGTGGCGGCAAGATTTATTAAAGCGAAAAAGTGAAAGTACAGCTTCCATGTGGTGGAAGGGGACCCAGAAGGGTTGCTGTTTCTGGCTTGGGTGTCTTATGCTTATATCCCCTTATGACCTCTCCCGTTTTCCTTTCTCTGTGCTATAGAATTAGCTTATTTTCTTTCCACTTGTGGGTTGGCGGGCCTGCTTGGTTAAAAACATCAGGCTGCAGCTAGAGCTTAAACTCCCTATATGACTGGTTGAAGTTTCAATCCGTTAGCTGGCACCTGTGACTCATTTTGGCCTGGGGGAAAGTCCCCTTCAATTGGTTGAAGTTTCAATCCCTTAGCTGGCAGCTATGACTCATTTTGGCCTAGGGGAAAATTCCCTTAGGGAAGTTCCTATTGACCCAGGAAGTCCAGCCAACTTAGCCACTTAATGCCTCACTACGAGCTTGTGAAATCAAAACTAATTTAGTTACTCCTAAAATACAATAGTAGTACAGGCATTGGGTTATTCATTTCCTTTCCCAAAAGGAG